GTGCCATCAGCCTCCGGAACACACACACACACACACACACACACACACACAACATACAGAAACAATTACCACAAGGATCATCCAGGAAATGACACACAGTATTAAGATTTAACTTTTGAATGGGGTAATTTTGATAAATTCAGCTATTATTTTGTCTTGTGGAGTACATATTAACATCTGTTATGTGAAATAGCTTATTAGAGACATGCAATTTTCATGATCCCTCTTATTTTGTGAAAATTATTAACATTTTGCATATTCTGCAACTGCAACTTATGAGCACAACTGTATATGCATATTTTTTTTCTTAAAATGTATAATGTATTGCAATTATAAAAACTAATTAAATAATATATTTAAAGGAAATTATATATATAACTGTAACTATATATATCTATATACATATATGACATAAATATATACATTTTATATAAAACTATATACATAATTAAATGTATAAGTTTAAATGTGTATATATTTTTTTGCAAAGAAATTACAATCTAAATTATTACAAATTAGATATAAAAATATATATTTAAATGTATATATAGTTTTGCATAAATTACGTATACATTGTAATATAATTATAAAAACAAAAGAAATAATATATATATATATAATAAATTATATACAAAGATTATAAACTATGTAAATTTATAAATATGTAAATTCATTTGTAATAAATTTAAATATACACATTACACATATAATTATAAAAGCACACACACATATACTTTATAATGACAAATACACTATATATGTTGTTGCTGTACCTCTGGATAATTCTGCCCGAACGACTCTGCAAGATAGAAAATGTATTTTAATAAATTACAGCGTTATTTTACAGCAACATTGACAGAAAATTAATTCACACAATCTGCATTAATATAATTATGAATATGAATTAACCTGTCAGTTCATATCAGAGAACCGAAAGCTGTATACATATAATAAAATACATCGTTAAACGAGCACTGAAAGAGAAAGCTTCCCATAAATACTCGAAGCTAAACAATAATCAGTAAGTTTCCACTGAATGTTTATAAACATCACAGACGGCTAGCAGCGGCTAGCGCCGAGCTAACAAACCGCAGATCTCACCGAGCAACTCCAGATTCATCTCTGCTGCGGCACAAACACAAACCCGACGACCAGTCAGCAGGGAGATCAAAATATGAATGGAAAATCCGCAAAAACGGCAAATATTAAAACGCTCCCGACGAGCGACTGCTGCGAGACTGCCGCGGAGCTGCGAGGAAGGACCCCAAAACAAAGCGCCCCGGCGAACGCCTGAACAAAACACACCGAACCACTCTAATTAACGCAGTCTTCGCTCAGTTTATGCTTTAAAATTGTTTAAAAATAAAGGAACGATTGTTTTAGGGTTAAAATCTAAACAGCAACAAACATTCAAGAAGAGCCAATTTGACACTAAATAATAGGATGTAACCACTGATCTATAATATATATATATATATATACACACACACACACACACACACACACAGACACACGTATATATATATATATATAGAGATCAGTGGATGTAACTCTAAAGTAGAGCAACTATGGGATTTATTGCGTAGCAGCAGCAAAATATTTCAGTAAAAACATAAAGAACAGTAAATTTCTATACACAGTACAGAAAATAATTGTGATGAAAAATATATCCACTATTATTACACGTTTTTAATAATTATACACTTTATTTGTAGTAACTTTCATAAGTTAGAAAAAGAGTCGAAAATATTATCCTATAATGTAATATATATGTCAACGTATGAAAGAACCCATGTTTACTTTATTTATCATGTACGTAAATGAGATCGTTTTCCGTTGCACTGAAGGCATCATTCGAACAGTTTCCAGCTCTTCTAAGCTCTTTTACTGTGCCGTACTGAAACCGCGCCCTCAGAGCCAAAATGGCGCTCTATAGAGTCGCGCTTGTGATCATCCGGGTGTCTGAGGACGCGACCAATCAGACGGCGGATGAGCTTATAAGGCGTGGTAAGGAGTCTTCGGGAAAACCGGCTATTACAGCATTACTAACGAGCATAAATGACAAACGAACGGCGGGATCGCGTCTTAAAATCACGCTCAACGGCATTTAAAGTTCAAAATCCTTCAGAATGACTCGCAAAACTCTTTTCATCCACGCCGCATAAACGTGAGAGGGATATTTTGACGTCACCGCGGCGCGGACCAATGAGCGGCCTCCATATGTGGGACACGAGCGGCGTGACGTATCGCGGCGGCTCGCAGGCAGCATAGAGCTGCAACTATAGATCGTTTTAAACGCTCCACGTAAAGTGATTATCTTACAGTCTTTTCATATGTATCTTTGTTTATAGAGACTTAACGTAAATCCATAGAGATGTACAGCCGCAAATCTATCTCTACGACCTCTAAAACGTTACAAATGTAGATCTAGTGTGTTCGTGTCTGCGCTCAGGGTGTCTGCGCATGCGCAGTGCGCTGAAGCGTTATGTAAACCTGCTCTGATTTAACTCGGTTTTATGTAAGTGGACTTTGGTGGACTGAGCGGGTCTGCAGCGGTTCTGCTGGCACATCTTCATAAACTCTGGGATGATTTTATAACATAAACTCATTTGCCCGCATCAGTAACGCCTCAGGTGAGTGCCGCTTCACAATTTCATTACAATTTCACATATTATTTCATATATTTATGCAATATTAACAGACAACGAAGTTACATAAAAAGCGAATCCGTGACGCATTTATTAAAAATCGCACCGTTTGTTTCAAACTCGAAATATAAGAGCGCCTTTTGTTTGTTTATCGCGTTTCTATGGCGTTTTGTGACGTAAGCGACGCTGACTGTAATGACCCAGTTTTAGGATTGAGGGTCAAGTTATTAAATATGTAAAATGATGTGTAAAACTCTTAAGTTTATGTTGATCATGTATGCAAGGGCTTTTATCTTTAATTAAAAATAATATTTTATGTGTTGGTTTATATTCCCTGTGTCATTTTGCTACATAGAAAGTAAATAAACGTGAAATACTTTGTTATTTTATATCATATTAATATAATTTAAAACATCTAAAGTGTAATAATATATAAAATATTATAATAAGCATAAATGTATGTGCTAATCAGCACGCTGCTTTAGTTAATGTTAGATTCTTAATATTATATTTTTATTATTTTTAATTAGTTTTATCAGCATTTTTATTAACACGTTAATTTAATATTGCTTAAAATTTTATATGGTTTAATTTGGTATTAATGATAATACTTGATTTTAATTATAATCAATTAAATGTTAATAAATGAACAACCAATGAACTGCTTTATATTTATTGCGTCATTTTGTTACATAAACAGTAAATGCTTTAGCATTTTTAAGAATTATTTCATATTATATAACAATATAATCTATCTAAATATATCTAATAATACATAAAAATATTTTAGCAACACATAACAATTAAATATTATATTTTTTATTATTATTTAAAGTAGTATCTAATTATTAAAACAGTATTTTATTAATAATATTTACATTTTATTATTATGATCAATAATTATTCTCAGCACATTAAATGAATAATACATGAAGACTTGTTAATGTGTTATAATAATAATTGATTTTAATGATGTAAATGAATGGAATGTTAATAAAGCTCTGTCTATAGGTTCAGCTTCTGCTTGTGATCTGCATCATGTCCATTAACTCCATCCACTGGTTCCGGAAGGGTCTGCGTCTGCATGATAACCCGGCTCTGCTGGAGGCCGCCAGGGGCTCCGATACGCTGCGCTGTGTTTACTTCCTGGACCCCTGGTTCGCCGGGGCCTCCAACCGCGGCGTCAACCGCTGGAGGTGATCATCACACACACACACACACGCACGCACACACACACACACTCCCGCTGAAACTCAAACTCTCACACACACACACACACACA